ACAGCCTGAGGCACGCCGTGTGCTCTCCCAGGGAAGTTGGCCCAGGATCACAGGACCCTGGCAGTGGCATGCTGCACAGGCTCCCGGGGGGGTATGGGTATTGACCTGCACTTGCACACAGGATTCTTGGTGGCAGTGGCGGCAGCGGTAGCGGTCCATGCCTATCTCTGGGGTGCGAGATGATAGCTGCAGCTTGCAACCATCTCTGGAGCTCACTTAGGTGGTGCTCTGCTGTCTGTGGGCACACAGAGCAAGAAGCCCTTCTTGTGCACTCTGAAATTATGATCTCTTGCCTCTCCGGCAGGTCCAGACTTTTTCCTGGTCTCCCTCCTGGCTAGCTGTGGCGCACTGGCCCCCTTCAGGTTGTCTTCACGCAGCCAACCCCAGTCCTCTCCCTGAGGTCTGACCTCCAAAGCCCAAGCCTCAACTCCCAGCTCCCACCCGCCCCGTTGGGTGAGCAGACAGGCGTCTCAGGCTGGTGAGTTCTGGTTGGCACCAATCCTCTGTGTGGAAATCTCTCTGCTTTGCCCTCTGCACCCCTGTTGCTGTGCTCTCCTCTGTGGCTTCGAAGCTACCCCCGTCCGCCACCCCCATTCTCCACCCGCGAAGGGGCTTCCTAGTATGTGGAAACTTTTCCTCATTCACAGCTCCCTCCCAGAGGCAAAGGTCCTCTCCCTATTCTTTTGTCTCTTGTTTTTTCTTTTGCCCTACCCAGGTATGTAGGGGTTTTCTTGGCTTTTGGGAAGTCTGATGTCTTCTGCCAGCATTCAGTTGGTGTTCTGTAGGAGTTGTTCCACATGTAATTGTTTTTTTGATGTATTTGTGGGGAGGAAGGTGATCTCCACGTCTTACTCCTCCACCACCTTGAAGGTCTCCCCCTCACATCTTCTTTATCCTTTTATCTATTGATGGGCACTTGGGTTGCTTCCGTGTCTTGGCTATTGTAAATAATGCTGCAGTGAACATAGGGGTGCATATATCTGTTCAAATTAGTGTTTTGTTTTCTTCGGGTAAGTACCCAGGAGTGGAATTGCTAGATCATATGGTAGTTCTGTTTTTAATTTTCTGAGGACCCTCCATTGGCTACACCAATTTACATTCCCACCAGTAGTGCACAAGGGTTCCCTTTTCTCTACATCCTCACCAATATTTGTTATTTGTTGTCTGTTTAATCATAGCCATTCTCACAGGTGTGAGGTGATAGCTCATTGTGATTTTGATTTGCATGTCCCTGATGATTAGTGATGCTGAGCCCCTTTTCATGTACCTGTTGGCCATCTGTATGTCTTATTTGGAAAAATGTCTTTTCAGATCTTCTGCCCATGTTTTAATCGGATTGTTCAGTTTTTTGATGTTGAACTGTATGAGTTTTTTGTGAGGCCTCTTTCTTGATCAAAAAGGGAGACTGTGTGTTAGTGAGAATTTAAAGCAACTAACTTTCTCCTTGATCTAACCAGAGGAGTGAAAGAGAATTAAAAATTACTCTGTGACTCCTTGGCACTCAGTTTCCTGCCTCAGTGCTGTCCTTCCCTTTGGGAACTCTGCTTTAAGCATCAATGATTGGAAAAGCCCTGAAACCACTCACCCGAGGTGGTCTCCAGTGCTCAGATGTGTCCATGTATGAAAACACAGACTCACTGCCTCCGCAATTAAACACTTCTCATAGCTGCTAAAGATTTACAGTCTGCTATCCATGGAGCATACTTTAAAATTCTTAATGTTAACCATTTCTCATTTGCCATAGGATCTGAGAGAATAGTATACTGTATAATGAAGTTTTAAATTTGAATACATTTTCTTTCAGATTTTATATGTCCTTAATATTTTATCAAGGTTTAAATGTATAAAGGTTTATTAAGGGCTAACCTAAATAACTTTATGTACCTATTGTAGAAGCAAGTTAAAAAGTACACAAAAGCTTAATTACTACAGTTTAATTGCTATTTTATATGTGGTCATTTAATCTGGTTTTACAGTGCTGACCTTGAATTGTTCCCAAAGTTATAATTTTGATTAGTGAAGAATAGTTTGAATATTTTTTCTGTTACCATATTTCATTGATTTTAAGATAAACAGTCTTTCACACTTTGACATCTCTGACAGCTGGTGGATACATCTTAGAAATGATGGTGTATCATAGCTTACTTGATAGCTAGTTTTCCTTGTACACAAAACGGTGTGTCTTAAAGTCAGTGGATCTTACGTTTGGTGAAATATGATAAAACACATTCATAGTATTTAAAATTAAAAATATTATACAGGCATATCTCAGAGATGTTGCATGTTCAGTTCCAGACTGCTGTTGTAAAGCAAATATCACAATAAAGTGAGTCACATGAATTTTTGATTTCCCACTGCATATAAAAGTTATGTTCACATTATACTGTAGTCTGTTAAGTATGCATAGCATTATTTTTAAAAAAACAGTGTACACACCTTAATTAAAAAATACTTGGGCTTCCCTGGGTCTCAGTGGTTAAGAATCCGCCTGCCAATGCAGGGGACATGGGTTCGAACCCTGGTCTGGGAAGATTCCACATGCTGCGGAGCAGCTAAGCCCGTGCACCACAACTACTGATCCTGTGCTCTAGAACTCACAAGCCGCAACTACTGAAGCCTGCACGCCTAGAGCCTGTGCTCTGCAACAAGAGAAGCCACCGCAATGAGTGCACCGCAACAAAGAATAGACCCCGCTCGCCGCAACTAGAGAAAGCCCACACACAGCAACAAAGACCCAACGCAGCCCAAAATAAAAAATAAATAAAAAAAAAAACTTTATTGCTAAAAGATGCTAACCATCGTCTGAACTTCAGCAAGTTGTAGGAGTAACATCAGAAGTCACCGATCACAGATCACCATAACAAATACAATAATAATGGCAAACTTTGAAATAATACAATATCTAAAATATGACACAGAGACATGAAGTGAGTAGATGTTTTTGGAAAAATGGCACCGATAGACTTGCTTGATTCAGGGTTACCACAAACCTTCAGTTTTTAAAAAACACAGTATCTGTGAAGTGCAGTAACATGAGCTATGCCTGTATGATGAGGGTTCTGGGAAGATGGCAGAGTAGGAAGCACCAGTAATCTGTCTGCCCACCTAGGTAGCAGTTGCATTGGCAGAATCCAGTGTAACTTTATTGGAACTCTGGAGTCAGCTGAAGGCTTGCAACTTCCAGAGGAACCCTTGGACCATAAATTACAATCAGTATTGGTCAGTTTTAACTGTGGCAGACAGCCATGCACATATTCCTGGAGCAGCTTACACGCAGTATGGGATCCGGGGTGGACACAAAGGATGCTGTCCTCCAAATACCATATCTGTGCTGATCACTGACTGCAGCTTCTGATCACAGAGGTGCTGATAAAGGCATGGGCGGCCTTTGCTGTTGCACCTCCTCCATTGTTGCAAGCCCCTTCCCGTCTGGCTGAGGTGACTTTAAAGGGACTTAGGGCTGGCACCTACCTCCCCACTTTCACTTTCCTCTTTGTCCCCTTTTTGGAGCCAGACGTTGAAGACTAAGACATTCAAAAGCAACCACATATACAGGGGAATTAGCCACCCTGCGTGTCCAGGGGGAGGCACAGGCTTAGACATGAGCTGAGAGGACCTTGAGTTTCTGCTCTGGCTGATCTTTGGCACAGAGACAGCCTGCAGCTGTCAAACACCGGTAAACCCCGGGGAGGGAGGAGAGTCTGGTGTCCAGACACAGTGTGAGAGTCAAATGTCCACTGTCAGCAAAACGCAAGGAACACAAGGAACAAGGGAAGTATTGCCCATTCAAAGGAAAAAAATAAACTAGCATCAGGGAAGCGATGTATGGACAAAACAGAAATATCAGTAAAGAGATAAGAAGTCCTGGAGCTGAAAAGTACAATAACTGAAATGGAAAGTTCACCAGAGGGATTCAAAGCCAAATAGGACAATGGGAAGAAAAGTGAACAGATGCCAAGGGACCTGTGGGACAGTGCTGGGCAGTGTAAGAAAGCAAGTGGGATGGGTTCGTTCTGGTCAGACTGCTGGGCAACAGGAGGGGGGCCTGGAAAGGTCGGAACGAGGTGAAACCTCGTTCTGCTCTGACCCAGAATGCTGGGGGTCATTCTCCTGTCTCAGATATGTGCTCATGCCTTTATAAAGTTTTTTTGTTTTTTGTGGGGTTCTTTTGGTTTGTCTGTATTTTTCTAGTACATCTCTGTTCCTAAGGATACTTTTTTTCCCTTGCCTCCCTAGCAGTATTTTTCATCTGTTAGACTGACTTTCTTATGAAAATATGTTCTTTAGGGTTTCTGGTCATTGATTTATGTTTTCAAGGTGGAAATAGAACAGTTTCCTTAAAAAAGCACTTTTACCAGGAACCTGAATAGTTGACATTTTACATATCATTTAAAATTTTTGTTGTATACACTGTTGTGTAGTTATTTTGAAACGCTTGCTGTATTTTGTGGGGGGGGGGGGGTTGGTCAGAGTTGGTAATTCCCCCAAGGTTCAACGCTGTGTTTGTGGGACATACCATATAGTTTTATTCCTACTCTACTATGCGAAGGCAGGTAGCAGACTGAGGGATGCATCCTCCTCCACGGGTAAAATGAACTGTTGACCAGGGCTAATGACTCTCCTGCTTTCTTTCCTGAGAGTTGTGTTTAACTCATACATAAAAGCAGCTCAAGTTAAATAAAATTAGCCTGTAGAACTCCATAATCATGGATAAGAAGTGTTTTATGAGCTTTGTTTGAATTAACTTCATTTAATTGCCACAGCAGTCTTGAACGTTCTATTCTAATTTTAAAGATGAAGAAACTGAGGCAGCTAGAAGGTGATGGAGCTGGGATTTGAAGCCACGCCAGAACCCCAAGCCTCTCCCTTATCCAGTGTGCTCTGTTCCTTCAAAGAGGGGAAGTTCCATAGCCTATCACAGACTTGGCGGCAGAGACTGCACTGTCTGTGTAAGGATAGAGTTGAAAAGCCAATAATTTTTAAATTCTTGGACTCTCCAGGAAAAAGACCTCCACCTGGTGGAGCACGGTGGCGGGCTGCCTTAGCGTGGGGAGCCCCATGTACTTCCGCTCGGGAGCCCAGGAATTTGGAGAACCGGGATGGTGGAAGCTCGTCCACAACAGGCCCCCTACCCTGAAACCCGAGGGAGAGAAGCTGTCCATCTCCACTCTGAAAGTGAAAGGTACTGTCGTGAGCTGAGAGGTGCCAGTGTAGACAATCTGCTTTGACCAGGCATGGAGGGAGCCCTTGCCTCCCCAGAGCTGCTCTGCCCCACAGTTTTGTTCTAACACAGTTTTTTATGCCATAAATAAATATTATACAAAAAATGTTTTATAACTGCCTAATCAAGTTCCCAGTTTAATAAATTTCCTTTAGTATCTGAAAGGTTCTCTATTTCCAATCTGTTTATTTATGGTTTTAATCTTTTTAGTATGGAAAATTTTAAATATACAAATGGGAAGTAATATAGTGAATTCCCTGGTACCTTTGTCTTCACTTCAGCAGTTAACACTGACAATCTTGGTTTTTGTTTGTTTGTTTTAAATATTTATTTATTTATTTGGCTGTGTTGGGTCTTAGTTGCGGGTCTTAGTTCCCCCTCAGCATGTGGGATCTTAGTTCCCCGACCAGGGATCAAACCCTCGTCCCCTGCATTGGAAGGCGGATTCTTAACCACTGGACCACCTGGGACGTCCCAATCTCATTTTATCTTGGCCCCTGGGTCCTTTCTCCCAACCCTCCACACATCCCCACCCTCGGATTATTTACAAGCAACTGCCAGGCATCAGCACTTCCTTCTTAAATATTTCATGATTTATCTCTTATCCATAAGGACTCTCTTTTGTCGCCTAACCATAATGCCATTTTCATACTTATAAAAAATTAACAGTAGCTCCTTATATCACACATTGATCTGATTTTTTTTATCTGAAAAGTTTTTAATGACCTTTTAAATTTTTAAAAATATAATTGGAAACAAATCTCATAGTATTGAAGGTGTAAAGTCTGAAAGTTCCCCACATGCCCACCCTGCCTGCAGCTTCACTCCAGCGGAGCCACTGCTGTCTCTTGTGAAGCTTTCAGAAGTCCTCTGCATATTGCAGCATTTTTTTTTTACTTAAAAAAACCCCATAAACTGATTCATACTGTATTACTTGTTCTCCATTTTTTCCCCACTTACCAGTATACATTGGCCATCTTCCCATGACGGCACATGCAGATCTACCCTATTTTCTTTTATTTCATTGCATCCCATTGAATGGCTATGTGATAATTTATTAAACCTTTACCCTATTGATGGACGTTTTGGTTATTTCTGTCCTTTTTTGGTATTTAAACAACACTATAATTACACACATTTGCCAATTTTTTGTGAGAAATTCCTGGAAATAGGTTGCTGTATCAAAGGGCATATTTATTCAAAATTTTAATCATATTGCCAAATTACCCTCCAAAAAGTTGTAATAAAATTTATGCCCTATCACAAAGGCATGAACTATCCATTTTCCCCCTACACTCTCTGAGCATTATCAAACTTTTAACGTTTACCAATTCCAGTAGGAGAAGGTGCAGAAGTGTTTACATTTGCATTATAATTCCTTTTTCCTGGTGAAGAGAAATCTAAATCTTAGTTTAGGGCATTCATTGAACATTTTTCTCTTTCAAACGTGGAAGCAGAGTCACAATAAGGTAGAAGCAGCAGGTAACGTTGAACAGCTGTTAAAAAATCTAGATATTCTTTTCCAGCAGCCTCGAAACCAACTTTAGATCCCATCATTACTGTCGAGGGACTTAGAAAGCGGGTGAGTCGGAATCCTGTGGAATCTGCCATGGAATTGAAAGAGAAAAGGTCTCGCACTCAGGAAGCGAAGGACATCCGGAGAGCCCAGAAAGAGGCGGCTGGCTTTCTTGACCGCAGCACCTCCTCGACGCCTGTGAAGTTCATCAGCCGAGGACGTAGGCCTGATGTGATTCTGGAAAAAGGAGAAGTGATCGACTTCTCGTCCCTGAGCTCCTCCGACCGCACCCCGCTGACAAGCCCATCTCCTTCCCCGTCTCTGGATTTCTCTGCCCCTGGGACCCCCGCCTCTCACTCAGCCACGCCCAGCCTGCTCTCAGAAGCCGATCTGATTCCAGACGTGATGCCGCCACAAGCCTTGTTTCACGGTAAGACGGCCCGTCCTCGGGTCTCTTGGGTTGTGTGTGGCCCTGATGGCAGTGTGTGCGCTGTCCCTGTGGGCGGCGGGTCTGCATTCCCCTCCTGCTTTCTGCTCTGCGCAGATGACGATGAGATGGAAGGCGACGGTGTCATCGACCCCGGGATGGAGTACATCCCGCCCCCTCCCGGCTCGGCCGCCTCGGGGCCGGGGGTTGGAGGCAGGAAGAAGGTCAGAGCCCCTGAGCAGATCAAGCAGGAGGTGGAGAGCGAGGAGGAGAAGCCCGACAGGATGGACCTCGACAGCGAGGACACAGACTCCAACACATCCTTGCAAGCAAGGGCTCGAGAGAAGAGGAAGCCTGTGCTGGAGAAGGACCGGAAGCCCAAAGGGCCCAGCTTCACCCCCGTGAGCATCTACGAGGAGAAGCTGCTCCTCAAGCGGCTGGAAGCCTGTCCTGGGGCCGTGGCCATGACCCCGGAGGCCCGGCGGCTGAAGCGGAAGCTGATTGTCCGGCAGGCGAAGAGGGACCGGGGGCTGCCGCTCTTTGACCTGGATCAGGTTGTGAATGCCGCGCTCCTGTTAGTGGACGGGATTTATGGGGCCAAAGAAGGAGTTTCCAGGCTTCCAGCTGGACAAGCCATGTACAGGACGACCTGTCAGGACTTCAGAATCCTTGACCGGTACCAGGTAAGTGTTGGCCTCACTCTCCAACTCCTGGGGCCGCAGCTCCAAGGAGCACGTGGGCATGTGGAAGAAAGCAGCAAGGGAGAGAGGTACAAAAATGGCTGGGCTGTATTTTTTTTTTTATTTGTCCAATATGAACATCCTTTCATACATCTGAGTTTGGATTTTTGTTTTCCTTTTGGGGATTCCAGAAGGAACCTAGATGTTTTCTTTGTATCTCTTAGCCCCTGAGGGTGGCTGTACATGGTTTGGGTCATGGCTTTGATGGACAGGTTTGTTGAGGACATACAGCATACTGGACACTAAGCTGAGCAGGAGTGAAGGCGTGTGGACATCTGTGTAGTTAGGTGACACCCTGTAGAAAGAGCAGCTGGGGTCAGTGTGTGTCAGCGTGGCCGGAGGATGCCTGTGTGTGAGCGCTCCCGGGAACAGTTGATTCCACCCAGAAATGTTTGGAATCCGCCTTCCCACGGCAGGAGCAAGACGGCTTCTCTCCTGTATCTTTGGTGGAGTTTGCTACTAACGATCCTTTAACTGGTTTTGCTAATCTGATGGCTGTAAAATGAAGCCTTGTTTTTTATTTACATTTCTTTGATGACAGGTGAAGTTTTTTCCTGTTTCCTAGTTGTTTGTGAATTGCCTGTTTGGACTCTTTGCACATTTTCCTATCTGCTTCTTTGGACACTAGTGGGGTCCGGTCTTTGTTGCCAGTGTTCTGATATTATCCAGTGATGATACCACATGTGGGGCTTTTCTTCCCTGGGGCTGGGCCTTTGCTCTGTGGGCCTTGCCATTTGAAACGCTCCTTTTTTTTTTTTTTTTTTTTTTTTTTGATGATACCACATGTGGGGCTTTTCTTCCCTGGGGCTGGGCCTTTGCTCTGTGGGCCTTGCCATTTGAAACCCTCCTTTTTTTTTTTTTTTTTTTTTTTTTAAATAATATTTATTTGGCTGCATTGGGTCTTAGTTGTGGCACGTGGGATCTTCTTTGCGACATGCAGGATCTTTAGTTATGGTATGCTTGATCTAGTTCCCTGACCAGGGATTGAACCCAGGCCCCCTGCATAGAGAGTGCAGAGTCGTAGCCACTGGACCACCAGGGAAGTCCCTGAAACGCTCCTTCTTGAGTTCTGGAATTTCCTAGCTTCTATTTTCTCTGGTTTGTCTCTTTAGAGCACCCCTGTTGTTTGGAAGTTGGATGCTCTAGACCAGAGATTTGCAAGCCTTTTCCGTAAAGGGTCAGATAGTGAGTAGCTGTGGCTTTGCAGGCCAGCCCTGCTGTGCAGTGTGAGAGCAGCGTACATGATACATGATGAATGGGCGTCGCTGTATGCCAATAACATGTATTTACAAAAGCAGGCTGAATTTGGCCTGTGGGGTCTGTAGTTGCCAAAGACCCTTGCTGTAGCTGGATCCCCTTAATTTTCTTTATTTCCCTATTTCCCAGCTTTCGTTTCCTGGGAAGTAGTAACCTGCCTGCCTGCATCCTAGAAGCCTCATAGGGAGCACCAGGAGCTGACCACGCTGTGGTTAAGCTTCACCTGAATTTCCCTGTTTTCAGGACAGAGCTTCCACCCTTGGCTTCCTCAGAATCTCTTTGGAGCCGCCAGAGCCTAGCCTGCCCCTGGAGGGAGGAGTCGTTTATGGATGTGAATGGCAGAGGTGTCATTGGAGCTTTAACCTCTTAACTAAAGAGACGCTCAGTCCATAGCCACCCTGCTCACCCTCAACTTCAGCGGGACCTGATGCCCCCGTTGCTCCGTTGTCCTGAGGCACCGGCTCTGGCCTGTCCTCACCACTGCCTTAGGTTTTGGCTCTGCTGGTCTTAGTCACTTGCCAGTTACTCATATGCTTTCATTGCTGTCATCTGCTCACCCCTTCTTTGTTCTCATAGGTTTGTCTTTTTAATCCTTATACTTAATTTTTAAAAGTATGAAATGCATCGTACCCATAGACGAATGCATAGAACATATGGATATAATTTAGAGGTTAATAAGATAAATAACTATGAATCTAGCTCCTGGGTTAAGACACGGCATTAAAAACACCTTAAAGATCTTTCTGGGCACTGCTTGCTCCCCCAGAGGGAGCCACTTTCCGACTTTCAGTGTTAATCATTCCTCTGCCTTTTTAACATCTTTATCCCTAAACAGTGTACTTTTAGTTGTTTGTTTGTTTGTTGTGAAAACTAAGTAGGAAGCACAGATGGAGCTGTGTAAGGAAATTGCTGCTATTAGATGAAGGCTTCCAGGAGAAGATAAGCTTGACGGGCTTTTTGGGTCACTGATGTAGATTGAATTGCGTCCCCAAAAGTGTATATTGAAGTCCTGGCCCCTGATGCCAGTGAATGTGACCTCATGTGGAGATAGGGCCTTTGCAGGTATAAGTAGTTAAGCTGAGGTCACACTGGAGTAGGTTGGGCCCTTAACCCAGTGTGACTTCTGTCCTTACGAGAGGAGAGACACACAGGAGACATGCCATGTGATGACTGAGGCAGCTTTTAGAGTGATGTGTCTGCAGAGCTAAGGGGCAGCAAGCCTTGCCAGCCACGCCAGAAGCCAAGAGAAGGACATGGAATAGATTGCCACCCAGAGCTTCTGAGAGACCACGGCCCTGCTGGCACCTTGATGGCTGGCTTCTGGCCTCCAGAACCATGAGAGAAGGAATACATACATTTCTGTTGTTTAAGGCCCCCTGTTTGTGCAGTGTTGATACGGCAGCCTCAGGAAACTTGTCCAGTCGTGTTCTGGCTTCAGCTGCCGTGACGTGACCCCTTCCTGGGGAAGTCGGTGGCTAAGGTCGTTAAGGAGTCCTGGGAGTCTGAGTATCAGTGGGCTGCAGTGTGTACCAGGGAGTGTGCCGAAATCTGGTTGGGGTGGGGGGTGGGTGGGTGTCTGTCCTGCGTCAGGGCTGCTGTGCTTCCCTCCAGCTTGTCAGAGGTCAGGGCGGTTATCTGTGGGGTAAGTGTCCTCCGCTGACCCAGGGAGCCCGTGGAGGGAGCAGGGGAGCCTCACATGCGTTGTGAACCAAGCTGAGCACAGACAAGCCTCCTCGGGTTTACAAGATGGTTCAGTGGGGCAGAGGCTTAGTGCCAGTAGCCTTAGGATGTCTGCCCCTTGAGTCACACTTGTCGCTCTGTTTTGGCCGCCATCGTGGTCCTGGCATTTCCCCTCGCCGGAGCCCCAGCTTCCCCTCTGCTGGATTGAACCCCCTGTTTCCTGCTCCCCATCTTTACCTTTTCACAGGTTTACTCCCTTCTTTAGTGAAGCACATCCTAGTGGCTTCCAGAGGAAAGCTGCCCGGGAAGTAAACTTTGAGACCTTGTGTGTCTGAAAGGCCTTGAACTTAGAGCCAGAATCCCCAGCTAGCGCTGGGTAAAGCTGAGTGCCAGCTTAACAGCAATACTGGAAGGAAGCCGGCAGTGGAGCAGTGCTTTCAGAGTCTTTGGGAAAACTAGGTTGAACCGGGAATTCTAGGCCAGTCAGTCCTCTGCCGAGGACCCCCAGTGTCACTTCCTTTAGACCCTTAGGCCAGTCAAAGTCCCTGTAGAAGACTCTTCAGTCTCGGGACCCTTGTGGCCGCCGGGAGAGGGGGGTCTCAGCCTTCAGCTGGTGCAGGCCTCGCGCCTCAGTGCCGCGTGAGCTGCCCGTCCAGAGCCTGGTTAGGCCTTCTGGAGATCTGGGCCCCAGACTCCTGTGGGGAGGGCAGCCACCTTGCGGGTGGGAGGGGGCTTGGAGGTTTGGGGCCTTCCTGCTCCGCCCACAGCTTTTACCTGCTCCTTAGTTTTTCCCAGTTCCAGAGGAACCTGGTGCTGCCACCTGCGTAATTTAGGAGGATTCTGCAGTACAGGTTGGGCCGGTTCTCACTTCACTGAAAGCCAGCTTGGGCTTTTGGCTTTAAATCTGCTACTTTGTGTCCATCTGCTTCCCAGTTACTTTGGTTTCTTCTCCTGATCTTTTTGTTCTTGCCTGCTTGCCCTTTTTTTTTTTTTTTTTTTTTTTTTGTGGTACGCGGGCCTCTCACTGCTGTGGCCTCTCCCGTTGCGGAGCACAGGCTTCGGACGCGCAGGC